TCAGGAAGGAAGCACAGGAACGTTCTGGGATGCACCTTGCAAGAACCCAACTTGCTCCCGTGCTCCAGGGCAACTTCTGTTCCACGGGGCAGCAGAGATTCCCTGCACCACCAGCCTTTCCCATGCTGGCCGTTTGCTCCGGCTCAGCTGTTCCCGCTGCCGGGCAGCGGCAGAGCACGAGTGACACGTGCCAGTGCCGGGGGCCGACGGGGCACCCCAAACCTGGGCCCAGCAGACCTCGCACAGCCTGACCTCCCGCAGGGCACGTGTGACCGACATCAGCCCCCGTACTGTCTGACCCCTGGCTCAGCCTCGCAGCCCCACCACAGCCCCTCCTGCTCACACAAACCGCACAGCAAGTGTTGGTTTTCCCCATGCGGGCGGCTCGGCGTAAGGCAATCCTCGGGCGAGGAGGCGGCTCCCGGCAGCGCCGAGCCAAGGCACACCCCTCCATTGCAACACAGCCCTAAAGATAGTCACTGTCCCCCGCTGTCCCCTGCCATCCCACCAGCCGCTCGGACCCCTCCAGGAAGTGGGGAAGGCAGACGCCAACGGCACGGACTGACGAGCAGGTTCACCAGCCTCTCGTCCAACCACGACCGCAGAAGGGCGAAATTCAGGAGAGGAAGAGATTGCAGGAACCGCGGGGCACGCCGCACACGAGTCTGCTTGCAACATCAGCGCAAAATGGCCCCATCGAAGAGGGAACGTGAAGACATCGACCCCCTCCTCGGCGCAGGGAAGTCAATGGGAGGTTTCAGCGCAGCCCCGACCGGCGCCGGGACAGGGATGGACGGCAGGAGCGGCCCCGCGGCCCCGCCACTGCCGCCGGCTTTGAGAACCGTCCCGGCGGGCGCAGACGGGGTCTCGACGAGACATCGCGGCCGCCCCGAAGCCACAGGCTGAGCTGCCGCATCTCGGGCACAGCCCCAGGAACACCGAATGCTCCAAGAACCAGAGCTGGATGCCAAAGCGGGAGCTGCCACCTCTTAGGAAGGGTCGCTGCCGTGACTGGAGGGGACCCCAATCCCCGAAGCTGCACCTGCCTTTGCCCCTCCACTGCACCAGTGGAAACAGGAGCACAGGGGGAAACATCCGAGTCCCAGGGTTGGTACTCCCCGTGAGGCGGTGCCCCATCCACCTCCTCAGCATGAATCCACTGTGGGTGGCCCTCCGCCCCACATCCTCCCCCGCAGCCCCACTCAGAGTCTCTAGAACAGCCCTAAGTGCAGCCCATTCCCCCCAAACCCAGCCTGACCCTACTGGGGATCCCCCCCACTCCAGAGCACCTCACTTCCCTTCTACCCCATAGGCTTCCTGACAGCGCTGCAGTCTCCCCTAGTCTCGCTCAGTCCCTGAACATCCCCCATTTCTCCGTAACCCCCCTGCTCCACATCTCAGTCACTGTGGGTCCCCCACACCTAGACGGACATGCCCATCCCCACCCCCTCCAGCCCTTGAGCACCCTAAAACACCTCACATCCAGTTTGACCTCTACGGGTGCCCCTGGTTCTCGCAACCCCAGGTCACAGGCAGCCTGACCCCACCGGAGACCCCCTGCTTCACAGCACCTCACGTCCTCTGGCAACGCTTCCACTCCATAACCAGCCTGAGCCCCCATGTGCCTCCACAGCACCACAACTCCTCCTACACCCCCGCAGCCCATGACCAGACTGACCCACCACGGGTCCCTCTCAGGAGCCCCAAATCCTCCAGAAGTTGCCTGACCCCTATACTCTGCAAAGTACCCCAGGACTTCCACAGCACCCCCGCACCCCATAACCTGCCTGACCCCTACAGTCCTCCCCCTCCCAAAAAAAACCCCTCTCTCGCCCCAAAATAGGCCTGACACCCAAGGAACCCCCACTTCCCCCCGTGACCCCCGGCCTCCTCCCGCTCACCGGGGCCGCCACTCCGCTCCGCTCTGCTTCTACCTGCACCGCCGGCCCCGCCCCCTTTGACGTCACCCCTTGAGCCCCGCCCCTT